GGGGGGTCAACTTGCCGCTTTGGGGTCCCCAGGGGGGGGGGAATTGGGGGGGGGAAAAGATTCACACGCCTCGAGACCCACAAGGGGTCGGCGGACCTCCCCACTCTCTTCCAGAATCCTTCTCTATAGGAGGACATGCCCGATGCCCGACCTAAAAGCACCGCGGCAGCCAGCAGCAGCGTCGCTGCGACTGCCGACCAGGGCCGCTCGCCCGCTGCCGCCCTGCCCGCAGGCCACCTGCGGCCTCTTCTGCCCCGAGAGGGACGGGCGCCGGGCGCCGCCCGGCGCCGCGGGGCCGCGCGTGAGCGTCGTCTGCCCGACGAGCGAGGACGGGGGGGGGACTCCCCTGGGAGGCGTCGGGGCTCAAGGGGCGAAGAGGGTTCTGAAGGTACACAATGGGTCATCTCGTTAACTCTTCGGAGGTTCCTGGATTTTGGGGGGGCCGAGGGCCTTTCATTGCTAGTGGTTCTGTCCTTGGCCTCTTCCCGGCCACTAGGGGGCCAGGAACAATCAGAAACGAGCAGAACTAGAAATGAGCACGATTCGAAATGAACGACGTGTACGGTGGGTTCGCGTCGTGTCGACCAGCCGCGAGCCCGCAGCTGGCGTTCAACGCCGAACGCCGCAGGCGACCCAAAGTCGGTCGACGTTGAACGATCGGGCGTTTCGGAAACGGGCGATGGTTCAAGGTTGAAAGATCCCCGTGGTGTCAGGAACCAACGCCAGGGCGGGGGGAACTCCTCTGGGATGTGTCGGTGGAATGAGAGAAAAGACAACATAGATTTGTGGTGCTCCGCGCCAGAAGTTTATGTTTATGGCATGTTTTCTTCTAGTAGCCGGGGCTCACGAGAAGCAAGGTTTTTCGCTGCTTTCGGCTTCTCCGGGGCCTACCTTGCTTCGGGACCGTTCCAGCAGCGATTCAGGATGGAAAACGGGTCCTGGGGAATGGGTCGAGACCTTGGGGGGTCGACTCTGTGAAAAGATCATGGCGTCGGGGGTTTGGGAACGGCGGTCAGTGCAAACGGGGATTCAGCCAGAGCGGCAGATCTTGCAGGATCCTGCAGAGCCAGAGCTGCACTGACCCAGGCTCGTATGCAGGATATTGCAGGATCCTGCAGGTTGCAGTGTTCTGCAAAGCCTGACAAACCCGGGTTTGCACTGACCCGGGTCAGTGCGCCCCCGCAGCTGGGTCGGGGCACGGGAGCGGCATGGGCTTGGGCGGCTTTCAAAAACCAGGGCCGGGGGGGGGGGAGGGGGGCAGCTGTTCCCAGCCGCTGTGGTCCGCCCCTGCTCCGCGAGGGGGGCTCTGACAACGCCCCTGGGGCGTCCCATGGGGGCCTCTGGCAAACTTGTGGTGGGCCCGCGAGGGTCTCTGATCAACTTCTTGGGGGGCCCCAGGGGGGTCCCCTGGGGGGTCCACGAGCGAGAACGACGGGAGTTCCTCTGGGATTTGTTTGCGGACACGGAAGCGGCACGGTGTGCGAGGGAGTTTGGAGAAGGATGCACATGTGGGGGTCGTGGGCGACAGTGTCAACGACAGGAGAGGTAAGCAATCATAAAAGTGATACACCAGCGAAACAATGTTTTTTTCTAGTGTGCAGTTGAGCACCTGATGAAGAAGCCTTCGCCTAAAAGCTGGGTCAGCGTGTCTTAACCAAGTTGCCAGAAAGTTGGCCCAGCTTCTTCAGCACGTTCGCGCCTTCAGCGTGAACAGCAGTAGTTGTCCCAGGTATGATTTCAGAAACGTCCGGAAAGCTGGCCAGACAGTCTTATCCAGAAGGGCTTCGCCCCCTGCCGCCGGCCCCCTCTCTCGTATAATAGGCAATGCAAGAGCGAAATCATGAGGCCTTGGCGCCGCCGTGAAGCAGCGTCGCGACTTCACGCGAAGACAATGAGTAATCGGCAAGTCAAAGTGAGATTTTGATGATATTGTTGAGTTCGGTGTTGCATTTCGAGCTTGCTCGCTTTCGAAGTCTTGAAACGTTGCAAATACCATGTGTTTTTTGACCCTGACCCCACCGATCTGCGTGAGGGCGCCACCGAATTTCAAGACATGTGGCAAATCCCATGTGTCTTTCGACCCTGACCCCGCCGATCTGCATGAGGAGTGCCACCGAATTTCAGAAATGTGGCAAATCCCTCGTGTTCTTGGACCCTGACGCCGCCGATGTGCGTGAGGGAGGCCACCGAATTTCAAGACATGTGGCAAATCCCTTGTGTTTTTCGACCCTGACCCCGGCGATCTGCGTGAGGGGTGCCACCGAATTTTAAACATTTAGCAAATCCCATATGTTTTCGGACCTTGTCCCCGCCGATATGCGTGAGGGGTGCCTCCGAATTTACAAAATGTGGCAAATCCCTTGTGTTTTTCGACCCTGACCCCGGCGATCCATGTAGCAAATCCCATGTGTTTTTGGACCCTGTCCCCGCCGATATGCGTGAGGGGTGGCGCCGAATTTAAAACATGTGGCAAACCTCATGAGTTTTTCGACCCTGACCCCGCCGATCTGCATGGGGGGGACAAGCGAATGTCAGACACGTGGCAAATCCCATTGTTTTTTTCGACCCTGACCCTGGCGATCTGCGTGAGGGGTGCAGCCGAATTTCAGAAATGTGGCAACTCCCATGTGTTTTTGGACCCTGACCCCGCCGATCTGCGTGAGGGGTGTCAATTTCGACCCCCCCAGAAATTTTGAGATCCCTCCCGGGAGGTGCTAGCCAGGGCGGTTTCCGGCTCCCTCCCCTCGCGCGGTCTACATCAAGGAACAGTAAGCAACAAGAAGCAGAACTGTAACAGTGGAAACTGGAAACTGGAACTGGTGCAGGGAACAGCAAACCTTGGTCCTACAGCCTGGTGGCCCCACAAGGGGGCCGTCGGATTAATCATTTGTTTGGCTGTCCTGTCTTTCGTTTTTGTTGTCAGCGAAGGTTTTCCGACGCCTGGGGTGGTTTCGGTCAGCTGCGCCTTGTCGATGGCTTTTCCGGGGGTGCCGCAAGAGCCCCGAGTGGCCGAGCTATATAATCCGAAAGCGGATTCAGCACAGGAGGAGGAGGAGAAGGCGGAGGAGGAGGAGGAGGAGGAAAAGGAGGAGGAGGAGGAGGAGGAGGAGGAGGAGGAGGAGGAGGAGGAGGAGGAGGAGGAGAAAGAGGAGAGGCGTTCTGGGCTCTCTTAGGTGGGGGGTCTTGTGCGTATATGCTTCCGAGCGCCGTGTACGCACGGGCACTGGCAACGAGTTTCTTTTCGGAGAGGTGATTTCCCGCCATTCCTCTGTCTCCGCTGCTTTCTCGGCTCCCATGGCGCCAGGCGAGGGCCCCGCCGCCCCGTCGCTCGGGGGATCGCGCCCGCGGCGCGTCTCGTGGGCGGACGGCAGCGCCGACGGGCCCTCGCAAGTCGTGCACAGGCGGCAGCCGCCGCGCGCTGCTGGCGCTGGAGGAGGCCCGCGTTTCACGCCAGCGCCGTGGCAGCGGCAGAGCCAGCCGCAGGCCAGCGACGCGGTCGTCCTGCCTGGCCCCCGCAAGCCTTCCCGGGGCTGCAGGTGTGGCACAAACGGCAATTGGGCGTGCAGGCTGGCGTGCAGATCGTGTGGGCGGGCGGCCCCGCTGTCCGTGCGCCAGCATGCCCTGGAGATGGCGGCAGGCGCCAGGGCGGGCAGCCAGCCCCCAGCTGGCGGTTGTCGAGACAAAGTGGGTCGCAAGTTGCTGCCACATGGAGGCCAGTCCGCTGAGGTGCCCGCGGCCCAGAAGCAGCAAGAGGCCCCGTCTGCCCCAGGCGGGGCCAGCGAGGAGGCGGTGGCGGCCTGCCTGGCATTGCTGGCGGACAAGGGCGTGGTCATCAGCGACGAAGATCGGGCAAAGCTGGCCCCGAAGCCGCCTGCGAAGGAGGTCAAGCCCAAGACCTACCCGCAGGTGCTGCAGTCCTGCATCTGGAAGCTCGAGAAGCCGGACAAGCAGGCGGCGGCGAAGGAGGCAGCGCACAAGGAGGCGGCCGAGCACCTGGAGCAGGCGAAGGCGGCCGTGGAGGAGGCTGATGCAGTCCTCGAGGCGGCTCGCCAGCGCCAGGCCGAGGGCCGCGAGGCGTTGGAGCAGGCCGAGCGGATGCAGCAGGCTGGGCTGCCGCCTGGCTCCAACTCGGCCTGGGGCGTCGAGCTGGCCAAAGCGATCGCTGGGCCGGAGGCCCTCGGAGCCATCGCCGCCGACGGAGACGAGGCAGCCGGCCTCCAGGCCTCACGCGCGGTCCTGCAGCGGAAGGTCGACGCCATCAGGGCCGAAATCGAGGCCGAGCGGGTGGCGGTGCCCAGCGGGAACGTGCCCATGGGCGAAGTGACAGAGCCTGCTGGGCCGCCTGCTGCGGGGCCGCATGCTGCAGGTTCTCCTGCTGCTGCTCCAGGCGGCGAGCGGAGCGGCCACCCCGCGGGCTCCGAGGGCGCGGGCGGCGACCACGTGGCCTTCTTTGCCCGGGTCGACCAGTTCGAGGGCGAGAACCTCACTACACGGTAGACGGCAGATTGTACGTAAAGCCCAGAGAGAGAGAGAGAGAGAGAGAGAGAGAGAGAGAGAGAGAGAGAGAGAGAGAAGAGAGAGAACGAGAGAGAGAGAGAGAGAGATAGAGAAAACGAGAGAGAGAGAGAGAGAGAGAGAAAGAGAGAGAGAGAGAGAGAAGAGAGAGAGAGAGAGAGAGAGAAAAAGAGAGAGAGAGAGAGAGAGAGAGAGAAGGCGAACAAGAGAGAGAGAGAGAGAGAGAGCATCCCGCCATCGCACCTGGGTCGCGGACCAGAGGCCTCTCGGATGCCCCCCCGGGGCCCGCCTGGGAGTTCTTTTATTGGGACCTTCTCTTTCTTGGGGCCTCTTTGGGGGGCCCCTTGGGAGCCTCCTCTTTCTGGCGCGGGGGTTGGGTACGTCGCCAGGGTAATTTAACATTTTTGTCGTATTTTTCACTTTTCGTCCAAACTACCCCTGTAGGGGGACACGCCCGACTTAAAGGCTTTTTCGCCAGGAGCTGTTTGTTGACGGCCCAGGGCCCGGCGCGGGCCCCGCGCGGCGACGACGGCGTGAGGCGGTCGCCGGCTACGCGGGGGCGGAGAGCCACAGCCGCGATGGCCGGTCCGCGAGGGCGGCGCAGCGTGCAGCGTAATTACGCACGCGTCGGCACGTTGCCAGGCTTGTCGCGTCACCTTCGAGCAAGGCGAGGTGAGCATACCCAGACCCCATCGAGTCATGAAAAAGTCCCGGCGGAAGGTTGGTGGCTGTTTTTGGGTTTGGGGGTCCTTACCGGGCCTCGGGGCCGTCAAAAAAACAATTCAGGATGGAGAGCCAGTCCTGGGGAATGGGTCGAGACCTTTGGGGGTCGACGTTATGACAAAAAAAAAAAAAACATGACGTCGGGTGTCTGGCCATGCAGCGATACTGGCACGCCGGTTGCGTGTCCACGCCCCCGGGGAGGCCAGAGAACGTCGAGGGACTCCTGGACCTGACCGCCGAGCAGCAGCAGAAGGCGCAGCTGTTCCTCCTGCTGTCCTCCAAAGACGCCACGCCTCCTGCACCCGCGGTCCAGCCTCCCCCGTCAGCATACCCGGCTCCAGGTGGTCAAGGCCCAGGAGCGGCGCCCATGGGTGGTTCGGAGGCCGCTGAGAAGGAGTTCGAGGCGCACCAGGAATTTCACGGGCCTCAGAGCCTGTGCAACCTGGAGTGGTGGAGCAGTGCGGGAGCCAACGGCCTCAGCTGTCTGTATACATCCACCGACGCCTTCCTCCTCAACCAGGCGGCCACCCTCCAGGACGCGCCCTGCTCGCTGAAGGTCGCCATCGGGGAGGCCTCTGAGGCCGCGGCGCAGGCCGTTCTGGACGCAATCAGCGACAGGGAGGAGTTGGGCGCGGGGCAGTGTTTCGTTGCTTTTGACCGCATGATCTTCGGAGAGCTCGTCGAGAAGGGCGACGTGCAACAGCACGCCGTGGCCGAGAGGATCGCGTCACGCCTTCGGGACATCTGAGCGAGCCAGTGGGAAGCGCTGCTACGGGACACAACTGTTTCAGGCAGGGCGCCGGCAGGTCCCAGCAGCAAGAGCGCGACCGTCCGCCGTGTCCGGCGCCTGCTGCTGGAAGACGAGAGATACAAGTCGAGCAGTGGCGAAGCGTCTTGGCTTGCCTATGGGCGCACCGCAGAATATTCCATTCACCTTTTGTGGTCGGCGCGAAATGTTCTTAGAACATGTATGGCTGAGGCCTTTTTGTTTTAACACATCGGGCTTCTATTCGAAGAACATGTCATATTCTAAGAACGTGTCGTTTTCGTTATTAGAACATGCTTGGGGTTTTAAAAACATTGCGTGGTAGGCCTATAGGATTGCCAGGATGGTCGGCCCCTGCTCAGCCAAGCCCGCTGCCTCGGCCGTAGGGACCTTCCGGGTAGGCGCCAGCGGCAGACGCGCTGCGGGCCTTCGCGCAGCAGCAGCAGCAACACCCCCTGGAGGCTGCCCTTCAATACGTTCTCGAGGGTGGCCCAGACCTCGCCGCCGCCGCGCAGCTCTGGGACGACGCCCAGACGCACTCTGCGAGCGCGTGGGCGACGACGCCCCGGAGCTCCTGGGGCTGGGCGACCGGCACGCGCACTGGCGCGGCGCCTCCCTTCGCCTGCAGGTTCCCTGCCTGCCCCCTCCCCGTCCTTCCTGTCTGGCCGCGCCTGGGGAGCGCTCGGCCCATCGCGCGCGGGCGGGGGGCGCCCGAACGGCAGCCGGCTCCGAAGGAGGGTCGTGCCCAGCTGATCCTGACACCAGATTGGCCCGAGCTGTTGGCGTGGCGGCGAGACCTGGGGCCATGAAGCCCCGGGCTCCCCCCTGCGCGACGGGAGCGGGGACCAGCTCGGGTGCCCGTGGGCCGAGAGAGAGAGAGAGAGAGAAAGAGAGAGAGACAGAGACAGAGAGAGAGAGAGAGAGAGAAGGAGAAAGAGAAAGAGAGAGAGAGAGAGAGACAGGAGGAAAAAGAAAAGGAGGGAGGAAGGGAGGGAGGGAGGGCGGGGGGAGGGAAGGGGACGGGGGGGGAGGGAGGGAGGGGGGGAAGGGAGGGAGGGAGGGGGGAGGAGGAGGATAAAAGGGAGGAGGAGGAAGGAGGAGGAGGAGGAGGGAGGAGGAGGAGGAGGAGGAGTAGGGGGGAGGAGGAGGAGAGAGGAGGAGGAGGGATGAGGAGGAGGGGAGAGGAGGAGGAGGAGGAGGAAGGAGGAGGGAGGGGAGGAGAGGAGGAGGAGGGAGGAGGAGGAGGAGGAGGAGGAGGAGGATCATTTGCTCCTCCTCATCGCGAGGCTGTCAGGGCCTTCTGTGGGAGGGCAGCCGCCCGAGAGGGGCGGGGAGTCTTCGGCCCCGCCGGCCGCGCAGGAGCGGCTGCTCTTCCACGCGCAGCTGTACTGCTGCTTCGCGGCCTCGCAGTTGGACGGGGACCTCTGCCCCCCCCCCCCCAGCCCCCCCCCCGCGTGCGCCCACGGGGCTGGGTTCCTTTTCATCTCCTCCTCTCAGCATGGCAGGTGCGCGACGGGGTCCAACGTGAGCAGGGTTCAGCCAGCGCGTCAGATCCTGCACGGTCCTGCTATGCCCGATTTTTGTTGAGCCGGGCTTGGGGCCGCCCGCGGCCCTGAGGTGGCCTTGCATCTGTCAGGAGGGGAAACGACACGCAGGCACAACTGATCGTCGACTCCCAGCAAGACATCGGAAAATTTGGAAAGTGGGGGAGAAGCCAAAAACCCGGAACATATGTGAAAATATGGAGACTCCTGTTATTTGTGTCTATTTAGTTGTGTGTCCCAGGGCCCCTTCAATCTTGGCTGGTCCGAGCTTGGGAATTCTTCCCGCAGTAGAACGGCGCATTTTTTTCCTATTTGGCCGAGCTGGGCTTGCGCTGAGCCGGGCTAGTTCACGCCCGATCTCAGACCTCAGCGGCGTGGATTTATCCATCCACCACCGCCTGGGGGATCGACCCTCGGGTGCCTCAACAGACGTTGGACATGGACACATTCGGTCCGTTGGGCGGGGGCAGCGACCACTGCCTGCCGAGGTCCCCAGAGATAGATCCCACAGGCGGCGGCGGTTACGGATGATTTTCCCGCCTCGCGCCTTCGTCTGCCTCTTGTGTGGTTGCCCAGCTTCGAGACGTCGGCTTGGGCGGGGCTGGGCACCGCGTTTTATGGCCTCTGGCAATTCATAGAGGGGGCGCGCGTCAAGAAACCACATGCTCTTCGTCAGGGTATCCTGGGTTTCGTCGCTCCAGCGGCGCTGCGCGGTAACTTCCCGCAGCGGTTGAAGAAGCTGCTGCGTTCAGGGTGCTCCAGGTTTCCCCTCGAGTGCACCTCGCGCACGGGTTCTCAGGGCGCGGCCGCACTGTACCTGGGGGTGCTCTTGGGGCGTGGTGGTCGCCAGGGGTCTTGGATTGCGCCTGCTGCTGAGTGCATGCTCCGTGCCAGAGACACGGGCCGCTTACCCTTGGTCAAACCAAAGCTCTCGCGAATATAACACCAAGCGTTAGGTCGGGCATGTCCTCCTACAGGCGGAGTTTGGACGACAAATAAAGCATACCCCAGACAATATTCAACACATACCCGACACTATTAAAACAACATTGTCCCCATATTATTATTTTGACCATTCTTGGATATTCCTCATGTAGAGGGACAGGCCCGACTTAAACCAAGTGCTCTTCGACACTGCCCCATGCTTCCTGGTTCCACAGGCCCACGACAAAGGCTCTCAAGACATCGCCAGTTTCCGTTTGGATGAGCAGGGAGTCTCCCAGTGATTCTTGCGGCCCATCGCTGGCGTGTATTGCTGATCCGCTTGTGGCCGTCATGCGCGTGCACGGCATCTCGAGCGTCCTGGGTCGTCTTCGCCGCTCCCCAGCAGATCCGCCAGCCGGCGTGCAGAGTCGAGATTGCGTGCGCCATCGCGCAGGAACGCTCGGAGGAACCCTCACTTTCACTGATGGGCCTGTTCACCACCACCATCACCATAGGTTGGAGGGGGGAGGGGGTCCTCCTCCCCCTGCTCTTCCTCCTCCTCCTCCTCCTCCTCTTCCTCCTCCTCCTTCACCTCCTTCCCCCCTCCAACTTACGGTGGTGGTGGTGGTGGAAAACATGCCCATCATTTCACGGTGGTCGCTGGGCACCACCGCACCTCGTGTGGCCAACAACTGCCTACGACCCGCTACGTATCGAGCGATGGCACCCATGAGCGAATCGTCTTCGCCCCTCGGCCAGGGCCACCGTGGGCGAGGCCGAGTGGGCCCTGAGGCGAGCACAGGACCATCCTGGGCCCCAGCACAGTGTTTGGGCCCTCCGTGTCTGCGTCAGGAGGGCCTACACACATTACGATTGATGAGAAAAGCAGCTTCCAGATCAGAGCCTGAGTTTTCCGGGCAGACTAAGAAACTTTGGATTCCAGTGTAGACTGCGGAGATTTTCTCAGATGCAGTGCCGTCTCCTACCCCTTCCTTCCGTTTCTTCTTTTCAGCAGCTTGCTCCTTTGCCGCTCCTTTTCCATGGATGTCTGTCGAATTTCCCCAGACCAATTCCTAGACCTCAGAAGCTAAGAAAGCGAAACTTGCAGAGTTTGCGCTGTCAGGCTCAAGGCTTCTTGCTGATGTGTGTGTGCACCATCCTGGGGCCGAGGGCGGTCAGGCCCGCCGCCGTTTGCTCCGGGGCCCCCCGGGTGCCCCGCGCGGTGAGCAAGTTTCAGGACGCCTTGCCTCGAGCAAGTCCTGTGACCTCCCTCGTGGTCGTGGAGCTGGAGCTCGTGGTCCTGGACTCCGGGCCTGGCGGGCCAGGCCCCAGGAGTTTCCGTGGGACCCACGATGGGCCGAGAGTGCCCAGATACCTGGGCTGCCGATCTTCTCGTTAGGCCTGCGGATTCTCAGCCGGGCAGATGATCTAAAGCGCCACCACTCGGCGGGGAGCCCGGGGGGGAAGCGAGAAGGGGCGGGCCTTCTCAGGCGGCTCGGAAGTCCCCGGGCCTTCTCAGAAGTTTCCTAAGCCTTCCGCGGAGGCGCAGAAAGCTCCTCAGAAGGCGCGAGGGCTTCTGGGAAGTCCCGCCGCCTTCTGAGAAGGCCTTCTCCGTCTCGCTCCTCCCCCTCCCGCTCGCCGCCGAGCCGCAGTCGGATGCACGCTCTCCGGCGGCTGGCCGAAGGTCCGCCACCGACGCGCGCTCCGCCACCGACGCGCGCGGCGCCGAGTGCGAGCATCCTCGCACGCCCCCTCGAGTCGCGATCCCTCTCTCGCCCTTAGTGGGCCCTGGAAACGACAGGGCCGTTTTTGTTACCGGTGCCGTCTTGCCGTTCTTTTGCCGGTGCCGACGCCGTCTTTTTCTACCGGTTCCGTCGCCGTTGTTTGACGGGTTCCCGCTCCGGTTCCAGTCTTGGGGCCGTTTCTGTTGCCGTTTCCGGCCGCCGTTTTTTTTTGGGGGGGGGCCGCTTCCATATTCAAGGGACACTTCTTCGGGATCGGTGAAAACACGGCCCTGCCTCCTCCTCCTCCTCCTCCTCCTCCTCCGCCTCCTCCTCTGCCTCCGCCTCCGCCTCCGCCTCCGCCTCCGCCTCCGCCTCCGCCTCCGCCTCCTCCTCCGCCTCCGCCTCCGCCTCCTCCTCCGCCTCCTCCTCCGCCTCCGCCTCCGCCTCCGCCTCCGCCTCCTCCTCGCCTGCAGGGGCTCGAGCTCGTGGTCGTGGACACCGGGCTCAGCGGGTCGGGTCCTCGGCCGCTGCGTGCGCCGGCGGGCCGCGGGGCCACGGGCCGACGGGCCGTCGGGTGCCGGGCCGCGGCTCGACGCGGGCGGGCCGTGGGCGGAGAAAAGGGAGAAGGGAGGGGAGGAGGGAGGGGAGGGGAGGGGAGGGAGGGAGGGAGGGAGGGAGGGGAGGGAGGGGAGGGAGGGGAGGGAGGGGAGGGGAGGCAAGTTAGGTGCGCTCGCGTCAACATCTGACATCCTACCCCTCCCTCCCATCCCTTACCATGGCGCTGATTTTCTCTATCCGCGGACGCGTGTCGTAGCGGACCTGTGGCTCCGCGCGCGTGTGCGTAGTGGGTGGTGGTGCGCGTGCGTGCGTGCGTGTGTGCGTGGTTGTGGTTGTTGTGGTGGTGGTGTGTATGTGTGTGTGTGTGTGCGTGTGTGCGTGTGTGCGCGTGTGCTGTGGTGTGACGTGGTGTGGCGTCTTGGTGGTTTGGTGGTGGGCCAGGTGCGTGCGTGCGTGATGGCGGTGGTGTGTGTGTGTGTGTGGTGTGTGTGTGTGTGTGTGTGTGTGTGTGCGTGTGGTATGTGTGTGTGTGTGTGTGTGTGTGTGTGTGTGTGCGTGCGTGCGTGCGTGCGTGCGTGCGTGCGTGCGTGCGTTCGTGCGTGTGTGTGTGTCTGTGTGTGCGCGCGTGTAATGTGGTGTCACGCGGTGTAGCGTGGTGGTGGTGGGTGGGGTAGTGCGGTGGTGGTGGCGGTGCACGGTGGTGGTGCGCGTGCGTGCGTGCGTGCGTTGGTGGGTGGAAGTGGCGGTGGGTGTGCGTGCGGCGGGGCGGGGCGTGGTGCGGCGCGGTGGTGGCGGGCGGATGTGCGCGCGAGAAAGATGCCCGCGCTGGGGCGAGAACGCCATCCTGAACGACGGATGCAAAACACCGATCCGAAAATGAGGTCCACGCTTCAGCGGGAGCGCGATTCGGAACGATTCGGGAGCAGAAATGAGGCCGGCGCCTCAGCGAGAGCAGCATTTTGAAACAAAACGCAGGCGAACACCCAACTCCGGGGAATCGTGTGTGTAAAAAACGGTACGCGGGGGGGGGCGAATACGCAAAAGACGTCATCAGGGGAAGAGGGATAGTATTCAGATTGAGTAATTGTGGAGGGAGGGGACGAGAAGGGAGGGGGGGAGGGCGGCGGCCAGGCAGGAGGCGGGGAAGGGCGACGACCACGTGGACGAGTACGAGGAGGAGATGGGGGAGAGGAGGAGGGGGAGGAGGAGGAGGAGGAGGAGGAGGAGGAGGAAGAAGAGGAAAGGAGAAGCAGGAGGAGGCCCAAGACGCATCAACGATGCTGTAGTGACCCCCCCTCTAAATTCCATCTTCGTAGGTCCCTACAAGAATTGGTTTGCGTTTCGGGAGGTGGCCCGTTTGAACACAACCGTCTGATAATCGTCTATCGCTCCAGAGCACCATTCCTGGGACTTCAACGCCTCGGATCCACGTGATTGTTGCGTCATGGCAATCCTAAATATTGCCAGGTCACGATACCTTGGAGTTCAGCATGACGAATCAACGTAACTGTCGCGTCCTGAAAATTCAAAGCCGCTTCAGAACACCTTCGGATTTCAACCATGCAGAACCTGGAACTGGATGCACACTTTTCAGAGGAATGTACGCGGCGCCACGGCAAGAGCCACATTTTGAAAAAGTGCCGCCCTCCATCTTCGAACCATCTTCAGGAGGGGAGAAAACACACAGACACAATTAATCGTCGATTCTCAGAAAATATGGGAAAATATAGGAAGTGTGGGGGGGAAGACAAACACCCAAAATATATGGGAATACTTTGGGATTTGTTATTTGTGTGTATTTATTTGTGTGTCCTTGGGCCCCTTTCACAGATGCAAACCTTGAAGACACACACATGTGTGTGTGTGGCGCGAAGACGAGAGCCACATCTTGAAGACCAGCCGCTCTCCACCCTTGAAGGTGTTGGGAACTTGTGCGACGAGTGTGAGCGGTGCTAAAGGGAGATTTAAAGCGAATGCGCGCGGCACCAAGGCGAGAGCCACATTTTGAAAAGGAGCCGCCCTCCGCTGTTGGCAATGCGTACGACGAATGTGCGCGGCGCTAAGGCGAGATCCACATTTTGAAAACCACCCGCCCTCCATCCGTCTTTCGAAACGGAAATACGCGGCGCTAAGGAGAGAGCCACTGTTTGAAAACGACCCGCCGGCCGTTTGTGAAAGTGTTCAGAATTCACTGCTTCGGGTAATACACAGTGAGGAAGTCTCAGGCGAAACGCCCAGCCCGCCCTGCCGATACGTCTGGGGGTGCGTCATTTACAAGGAAAATCGTTCGGGGAGGAGAAGAAGAGGAGGAGGAGGAGGAGGAGGAGGAGGACTTGATGTCATATGGCTTTGGGGCGCCTTAGCCCCGTTAGTGGGCCCACTGTGCTGGAGTCACCACCCTGTATAGCACGGTGTCCCGATGTAGCATATGGCCTGGGGCCATCTGTGTCCATGCCTCACGGGCTGGGCCGACGAATCAAGAGAGCTTGGGCTCTGCGGCTCCAGCGTCGAAATGCATCCTGGTCCCTTCCGAGGCCGCGTGAATTCATTGTCACCATACTTGTGATAACAGCCCTTCGGTAGTTCGGGGACTCGTTTCCATTTCTCCCTCACCTGTCCCCCAACGATGCTGTATGTTCAGCAATTGAGGATCGGATAACGCGGGGTGGGGGAGACAGCAGGTAAAGGGAAGCGGGAGGACTTGTGGATATGCTGGTGTGGTGCGGCTGGGCCGTGGTGCACAGCGAGCGCACCAGAGGATTCAATGATCAAATGTGGGCGCGAAGCATGCGCCCGAATCCCGATGATGTACTTGCAAAGCCTCACTTGTCATCACTTGCATTCTTGCCACAATCTAGGGCCACAAGTGTTCGATGGGGTGCAGTAGACGACTGTAGCTGCCTATCTTCTTTGGTTCCGTTGTGTTGCGCCTACGAGCCGGCCTGTTGCGCCGACTCCCCATGAGCCTGCCTTTGAGGGTCCACGCGCTCACCTGAAGACCTCCCTCACCTCAGGGGGGATACGAGGGGAGGAGAAAGGCACGAACCGAGGACCCTCACCAGAAGGCCCTCACATGCCTCCAAGGGGCCCTCACCTGAGGGCCACTTCTGTACCAGAGGGGCGCCATTGGGCTCCCTTGCCCGAGGGAGGGTGCGGGGGAAGAGGCAGGCGCGAAAGTGAGAGCCTTCACCCGAAGGCACGATTTTCGCCCATAGCCTTCGCTTGAAGAACCACGCCCGGCCCCCAGAAACTACGGAGGGATGGGGCGAAGAAAACGACCGGCTAAACGAGCGGGTCAAAAAGTGGTTTCGATATCAGGGCGCAGAAAGGACGAGGACGGAGGGAGGGGTCAGGGGGAGGGGATGGTCAGGCGACCGCAAACATGGATCAAGGGGGCATGGATTAGCGACGGGCCCCGCTTCCATGGGAAATCGCGGATTTCCGCCGCCGAAGGAGGCGGCACCAGCCGCATTTTGGGGAGGGCACCTCCCCCGATCCATGGACTTGGCGACCACCCGCCAAATCCATGGATCGCTAATCCATGGTTGCGCGCCCCCGAGAAAGAGGGGGGAAGAGGAGGGAAGAGAGGTGAGCGGCCCGAGGTCCAGCGGCCCCTGGCCTCGCCATGGGGAAGGGTGCCGCGCCTTCAGCGGCTGCAGGGACGACTCGGGGCCGTCCAGGCAGGCCAGGTATGCGCTGACACACGCATGCCAACGCTTGTTCATCGACAGGGGTTCGGCGTCATCCCAACATACCAATACTGTGTGTGCGTCGCCCTCCCAGGGACGACGTGCGCACCGAGAAATCTTGTAGTAGATGCGCCGTGGCGGGCGCTTTCCGGCAACACCGCTCGGGAAACGATGTACTACAAGATGGGTATACTATATGTTCGGGTCGGGCGCGCGCCTCCAATGAGGACATACAGTACTAGGATGACCTTGTGCGTCCCAGGGATGGGCATCCAGCTCGCACCACACCAGAGAGCCTCATGAAGGCACGGTTGCGGTGCAGGGGGCATGTTGGCCGAAGCCGCGGGTGCAGGATGGCCTTTCAAATCCGCCCCTTGGAGGGCGCTCTTTCTTCCAAGAGGTTGAAGGGCACATTTTGATGCAAACCTGAGCTGCCAGGCTGGGGAAGCTGTCCAGCAGGGCTCAAGGAAGAGCCCATTGATTGCTTGGCGATCTCGCCTTCTGGATTTTTGGTTGTTTCAGAAGCACGTGCGCGGTACGCTTCGGTAGGACAACTCGAGCCCATCAGCGTCAAAGGCTGGCCATAATAACAACCCACAGAGGCCCGTACCTCCTTTGAAAACCATTTATTCCTGGAAGGTGGTGTTCAAAGAAGGTACGGGGTTGGTTTTGGTACACCTGTCAGGTCATGAGCCTCGGGAGCTGGCGACAGTGGTTCGACGAAGCGGGTACGAGGCTCGTTTTGGTATGACAACTCCGAACTCAGCAGCGTCAGCGGCTGGCCCGACTGGCAAAACATGGAGGCTCTTACCTTCTTCGGGAAAAACGACTTAGTCGCAGGGTGATGTTCAAAGAGGGCCACAGGCTCGTCTCGGTGCAATCTCAGCTCATGAGCCTCAGAAGCTGGCGAAGCCGTTGTCTCACCCAAGTATCCTAGGTTACTCTTGCAGGAGATATCACATGCCCGATAAGGAAGTATTGGGTGAGGCGAGTAGTTGTGGGCTTGAGGAGGAGGAGGACGACGATGAACGTAACGATGACGAGGAGAATGGGGAGGAGGCTCGGTGATCGCGGATCGAAGTTTGTTTTTCGGGGGGGGGGGGCCATGTGTTCAGAAGGATGTGTCCCCTGCGATGTTGCCCGTCGCCATGTTTGCATCTGCCTTGGATTTCGTGGGTGCATCTGTATATTTTCACATATACGTATACAGATATGTTTAGAGATATGTTTATATCTACATATATATATAAACATATATATATATATGAAACATAAACTCGATTGCGTCACACCGTGACCATTCGTCGTCAGTCTGTGCCGACCCTCCTCTTCCACTCCTCATCCTCCGTCTTCCCCCATCTCCCCCCCCTCCTCCTCCTCCTCCTCCTCCTCCTCCTCCTCCCTCCTTCTCCTCCTTCTCCTCCTCCTCCCTCCCTCCCTCCCTCCCTCCCTCCCTCCCTCCTCCTCCTCCCTCCTTCCCTCCCTCCCTCCCTCCTCCTCCGCCTCCTCCTCCCTCCCTCCCTCCCTTCCTCCTCCTCCTTCTCCTCCTCCGTCTGCTCCTTCCCCTCCCCTCCTCCCGTCTCGGCCGCCCTTCCCCCCCTCGCCCCCGCCGGCCTCCTCCCCCCCGCGTCTGCGCTCCCAGGCCGTCTCCGATGCTGCGGCGCCTCGCCGAGCAGGAGCCCGCCGTTCCGCCGTTCCGCCGTTCCGCCGTCGTTCCGCCGCCGCCGCCGCCGCCCCCGCCGCCTCCACCGCCGCCGCCGCCGCCGCCGCCGCCGCCGCCGCCGCCGCCGTCGTCGTCGTCGTCGTCGTCGTCGTCGTCGTCGTCGTCGTCGTCGTCGTCGTCGTCGTCGTCGTCGTCGTCGCCGTCGTCGTCGTCGTCGCCGCCGCCGTCGCCGCCGTCGCCGCCGTCGTCGTCGTCCTCGTCCTCGTTCTCGTCCTCGTCCTCGTCCTCGTCCTCGTCGTTCAGTTTCCTCGTCGCTGCGGCCGCCGTCGCCGTCGTCAATCGCCGCCGCCGCCCTTGTTCTCGCCGACGGCGGTGACGCCGTTGTCTCAGAGCTTCGTCGGGTACGTTTTTTCGCCGCGGCTGGACGCAGCTCGAGCAAATCGCCCCGATGGACCCTGGGCGGGGTTCGAGTACCCGACTCGAGCCTAGTCTGTTCGCCGCCGCCCCCCGGGTACAGCCGCAGCCATGGCCGCGAGCGCGACTGCCGCCGCTGGGGCCGCGAGGCCCGGCCTAGAGGTCACTCCTCCTCCTCCTCCTCCTCCTCCTCCCTCCTCCTCCTCCACCTCCTCCTCCTCCTCCTCCTCCTCCTCTCCTCCTCCTCCTCCTCCTCCTCCTCCTCCCCCTCCTCCCCCTCCTCCCCCTCCTCTCCTCCTCCTCCCCTTCCTCCCCCTCCTCCTCCTCCTCCTCCTCCTCCTCCTCCTCCTCCATCTCCTCCTCCTCCTCCTCCTCCTCCTCCTCCCCTCCCTCCTCCTCCTCCTCCACCCCCTCCTCCCCCCCTCCTCCTCCTCCTCCTCCTCCTCCTCCTCCCCCTCCTCCTCCTCCTCCTCCTCCTCCTCCTCCTCCTCCTCCTCCTCCTCCTTCTGTCGAACCTGGAAAGGATCGCGCACCATGCAGGCACGCCGCAAGTGGGGTGGCAGCCACTTCTGGGAGATGCCAGGGCGAGCCTGCTTCTCGCCGGCGGCGAGCGACGGGCGGAGGGGAGCAGGAGAAGGCCCTCTCCGCAGGCGGCGCGGCTCCTCAGAAGCCCCCCGGGCTCCCGAGGAATGTTCTGCGTCTTCGGGGAAGGTCCAGACAACTCCTCAGGAGGCCGGGCGGCCTCCGAGCCTTCTGAGAAGGCCCGCCCCGTCTCATTTTCCCCCCGGGGCTGGCCGCCGATCGGGGGCGGCCAAGCGAGAGTGGCCACGAATATCTTGTTCGCCAGCTCGCAGTCTGACCCGACCCACACGGCAGCGCAAGAGCGGGCGGGATGTAATCTGTGGGCTGACTTGTGGCTGTCTGCGGGAGCTCGCTTTTCCGTGGTCGTACAGTTCTTATTGCGATGATGGGGAGGGGGCTGATGAGCTCGGGAGCATGGGTATGAGAGAGAGAGAGAGGGGGGCGAGGATCGAGGAGAGAGGCGTGCGGAGGGAGGAGGGAGAAGGAACGAAAGGAGGACAGGAGGCAGCATCCTCGTCACATTCCCCCTCATCATCCGAGACTTCTGCCTCCTTCACCTTTCCCCGTGCCCTCGCTACGCTACTGGACGTGGTCGGTGCATCAATGCTCTTACATGGTCTCGGCAGCGTGGTACATGTTATGGTCAGTTCGACCAGAGTGGTGGAGCATACGTTTCTATTTGTGGGGTGGGGTTCCACTCACCTCTCGTCAGGCGCTCATCCTCATCCCCCGTTTCCTTCTCCCCCTTCCTCCCTTCTCTCTCTCTATCTCTCCCTTCCTCCCTGCCCCTCGCGTCCCTTCTCGGGGCGGAAATCGTACGTATCCGTAACAACCCACGGCCTCGCGGGCTGGGCCCCTGGGCTGCGGTTCCGTGGATGCGGGGCGTTGTTTCGCAGATTCTTTGCACGGGACGTATCCATGCGTCGCGTATCCACAGGATCGCGCCGTGGAGGTGAGACCGCGAGGGCGCGGACATGAATGTGTTCGCCGCTCGTGACCTTCATCCCCCCTGTCTGACTCCCCTTCTCCCTGCCTTCCTCCCACCAGAAGGAATTCCGAGCACCAGGACAGCTCCCAGACCGGAGGATTCTCACGTGTCTGGCCCGGGGAGGTTATAGCTGTTCGGCATTCCGCTAGCGTGTCGGGCAGGCATTCGATACGCCTCTGGGGGCGCGACATGCTTTCTGGGATGTGGTCCTCAAGTACGATGGAATCAACGAAAAATATAACATACCCCCAAAGTAATCAAACACAGTCCAAACATAGTCTGGGGACTGTGTTTTTAGCATTTTTGTTGACCTTTCGGGGGTATGTTTCGGGTATGTTGTAAATTTGTCGTCGAAAATCCCCCTGTAGGGGGACGCGCCCGACATAAACATAACCTGACGGGTATTTTTCGTCATCTCCCGGGCCTAGAGGTTGACACCAACACCAAGATCGGCGGTGTGCCTCCACCGAGGGAAGACGATCCCGATCTCGGTGATGGTGGTAATATTCTGGCTTCCAATGTGGCCCACATATTACTACCAACACCGAAATCTAGGATCCTCTTCCCCTTGTGGAGGAAGCCCCCCCTGTGTTGGTGTTGGTGCCCATTTCCAGGCCTCCAAGATGGGATAAACGCAGCCCGACGGGTATTTTTCGTCCTCTCCCGGGCCGCGGCCCTGCCTGCTGCAGGGCCGGGCGGCCGCCCGCTCGATCGCCCCCTGCCTCGGGAGGGGAAGAAACACACACACACAGACACAGTTCATCGTCGACCCCAAGGGAGAGATGGGAAAATATGGGAAGTGGTGGGGAAGACAAGAACTCAGAAAATATAGGAAAAGATGGGGAATCTGTTTTATTTGTGTGTATCTATTTGTGTGTGTTGTGGGCCCCTTCACTGCCTCCCCGCCTCCTTCCCTGCCGCCCTGCCTCCAGGATCCGCGTCGGCCCGACCGGTACGACTCGATATCGGCTCCGGCCAGCTCGATCCGACTCGACTCCGACAGCTCCGGCGACCCGATGCGACCCGATGCTTGCACGGTGCTGCCGTTCATCCTGGCGCAGCCGGTCCGATTCGATCTCGACTGCGTGCCGAAGCAGAACACTTCCGACGCACGTGCCGATCCGATCCGATTCCCTTTTTGCCATGTTGACTTAAGGCGGTCGTGTCCCCCTACAGGGGGAATAGTCTAAACTAGTCAAAAATCAGTCTGGGGACGATTTTTGGACTATGTTTGAGTATTTGGGGGGTATCTCTTAGGTATTTTTTTTGTTTTTCGCCCAAGAGCTCCCTGTAGGGGGACACGCCCGACTGAAATGTTGACTGGTCGTGGCTCCCTCCAGGACGACCGCGTGGTCTACCGCCACTTTGCGGTGCCCAGCCACGGCTGGCCCGTGGGGCTCAAGCGCAACAGCCCGCAGGCTGGAGCCTGGCGCCTGCATCCGGGCCAGGCTCTCATTCAGGAGGACACAACGCACAGACACAAGTAATCGTCGATTCGCAGGAAAAATATGCGAAACTATGGGAAGTGGGGGGAAGACGAGAACCCAGAAGATGTGGGAAAACATGGGGAAGCTGGTTATCTGTGTCTATGTACTTGTGTGCCTTCACTGGCGCCTGCATCCGGGCCAGGCCCTCATTGTCGCCCGCAGCTCGCAGGTGACGGGGTTCAACGCAAACGCGGGCCGGCCAGAGCTCGGAGGAGCAAGAGGTCGTGCCAATGATGCGTCTCAGGATTGCAAGGGTGTCCCAGATTCCCGGAGGTTCCACACGGGCTGCAGACATGAGGGCCGCGAGACACCCTCTGAAACCCTGAAACGTATCCTGAGCCAATGGCATCGTTCTCGTCCTGCGAGCGCCGCGGATCCTTCAGGATCCGGCAGAGCCGCGTTTTAGCTGGGCCAGGGTTTGGAGCCGCACGCGGTCCCGGAGGTGGCCTCACGCGCTGGCTGAGCCAGCCAGGTTTGGGACGCCCCCGCAAATAGTTGCAGCGCATTCTTTCCAAAATTGTTGAGCCAGGTATGCGCTGAGCAGGGGCAGTCCGCCCGACGCCCTCCCTTCGATTTCAGGGCTTCTGGAAAAACATGGCGCGTGCTTTTGCCTGCCGTCGGGCCCGGGGTTCCTCACTGCGGACGGGTCAGGATCGAAGAGTTGGCCTGAGGAGAAGAGGTTTGGGGATTAGTGCAAAGCAGAAGGCAGCGTCGCGCGTGGCCACGTCGGCCGAGGCCAACGAGCGCTTGCGAAGCCCCAGATGCGCGCTTCCGATGACGACCTCGGCCGCCGAGACGATTGGTTAAGATGCAACTTCTGGGAGCTTAAATCAGGCTGCCTGCGGCATGTCCCGCCACCGTGGCAGCCCAGCATTCTGTGTGGCGACGGATCGAGGGGACACAGGAGACCGTCACGTGCAACACCTCGTGTCTCCAAGGTTGGGAGAGCCGTGATAGTGGTGGTGATGATGATGTTGGTTGTGATGATCACGACGACGATGACGACGACGATGACACGGATGATGATAGTGATAAAGACGATGCTGTTGGTGATGTTGACGTTGATGATGATGATGATGATGATGATGATGATGATGATGCTGCAGATGATGACTACGATGTTGATGATGGTGGTGGTGATGATGATGATGCTGGCGAACATGGCAACGACGATGATGATGCTGAAGATGGTGATGCTGCTGATGCTGATGCTGCTGATGATGATGATGCGGATGCTACTGATGATCGGTGGTGATGGTGATGATTATGATGATGATGCTGATGATGACGATGATTATGACTGCGATGCTGATGATGGTGATGGTGCTGAAGATGATGATGATGACGCAGATGCGTACGCATACGCACATGAATATGACGATGACTCTGAATCAGATCATGGTGACATGACGATGCTTATGATGATGGTGATGATGGTGATGATTATGATGATGATGATCACGATGACGATAACCACGACGCCGACGATGACGACGTCGATGCTGATTATAATGCTGATGCTGATGCCGATGATTACGAAGATGATAACGATGACTACGATGATGATGCAGATGATGATGACTACGATGGTAATGATGATGATGATGATGATGTTGGTGGTGCTTATGATGATGCTGGTGAACATGGCGACGACGATGATGATGATGACGCTGATGATGGTGATGCTGCTGATGCTGATGCTGCTGATGATGACGATGCGGATGCTACTGATGGCGTCGGTGGTGATGGTGATGATGCTGATGATGCGGATGATGACGATGATTATGACTGCGATGCTGATGATGGTGATGGTGCTGAATCTGATGATGATGACGCAGATGCTTACGCATGCGCACCTGCATATGACGATGAATCGGAATAAGAGCATGCGGAACTGATCATGCTTATAATGATGAGTATGAGGATGAAAATGATGAAGATGCTGATGATGATAGTGATGATCACGATGACGATGACGATGACGACGCCGCCGATGACGATGACGACGTTGATGATGAAGATGATGCTGATGCTGATGCTGATGCTGATTCTGATGATGATGATCATGCTGATGCAGATGCTGACTATGATGATAATGATGATGATGATGATGATGATGATGATGATGATGGTGGTGGTGGTGGTGGTGGTGGTGGTGCTGATGATGGTGATGATGATGCTGGCGAACATGGTGACGACGATGATGATGCTGACGATGGTGATGCTGCTGATGCTGATGCTGCTGATGGTGCTGATGATGATGATGATTCGGATGCTACTGATGATGATGATGGTGATGGTGATGATGGTGATGATGGTGCTGATGTTGAAATGATCATGGCTGTGATGTTGATGATTATGCTGATGGTGCTGATGATGGTGGTGGTGATGACGCATATGCTTACGCAAACTAACATGAATCTTGCGATGAATTCGTTTCAGAGCGTGCATGTGGAAATGATGATGCTCATGATGATGATGCTGAAGCTGTTGATGCTTGATAATCACGATGCTGATGATGGTGCTGCTGATGATGATGGTGATGATGATGATTATGATCACGATGACGATGACGCCGACGACGACAATGAGGATGATTATGATGATGATGAAATTGATGCTGATGCTGATGATAATGATGCTGATGCTGATGACGATGATGCTCATGCTGATACTGATGCTGTTGATGATGATGATGATGATGATGATGATGATGATGATGATGATGATAATGATGATGATGATGATGATGATGATGATGATGATGATGATGATGCTGACGCCGATGATGATGATGCTGATACTGATGATGATGATGATGGTGATGATGATGATGATGCTGATGATGATGATGATGATGATGATGATGATGATGATGTTGATGATGATGATGCTGTCGATATTGATGCTGATTTTGATGTTACTGATGCTGGTGCCTCTGCTATTGACGATGATAACGGAGAGGATGATGTTTGCGACGGCGGTGGTGATGGTGATGGTCATGATGATGGTGATGATGATGAGGAGGAGCAGGAGGAGGAGGCGGAGGAGGAGGCCGAGGAGGAGGAGCAGGCCGAGGAGGAGGAGGAGGAGGAGGAGGAGGAGGGGCGGGAGCAGGAGGAGGCGGAGGAGGAGGAGGAGAAGAAGGAGGAGGAGGACGACGAGGAAGGCCGTCAAAGGTGACACCTGGCGTCTTCATTATTTGATGAGCTCTCATGGAGCTCGTTTGTACCGTCTTTGGGCTGTCTTGGTCTCCTGCGAGGCGGTCTTGGGGGTCCCTTGGGGCCCCCTGACGCCATCTCCGTGCACTCTTACGGCGTCTTGGGGCTCTCTAGGGCCGTCTTGGGGTCCTCTTGGTCGTATGGTATGTGTCCAGGGTCAGAGTCGTGGGTCCGTCTTGGGTCGTCGCAGGGCCTTTTGGGGCCGTGCTGTGTCCCACAGGAGGCCCACTTGTGCCGTCCTGGAGCCGTCTTAAATGCCTCTTGGGCCATCGTGGGACCTCCTGCGCCATCTTGGGATCGTCTTGGAGGCCTCTTGGGCCGTCCTGGGACCATCGTGGAGGCCTTTTGGGCCGTCTTGAGCTGACGGAAGCCCGGAAAAGGCGAGAATGCGAACATCATGCACAAACCGAAAGGGCATCACTGATTTTAGCTTCTTCGGACCCTGGTGGAGCTCCGCTTGTGGCAGTTGTGGGCCCTCTTGGAGGCATCCTGGGCTGGCTTGAGGCAGCATCGTTCCGCCTTGGGGCCATCTTGGGGGGCCTTCGAGGCACCTTGGGCCATGTCGTTGTCCTTGGTTGCCTGCCTGGGCCGTCGTGGAAGCTCGGGACGCGGACACGTTGTTTTGTTGTTGCGAGGGGTCGCGGCGTCGGGAGCGCAGGCCAGTCGTTGCGCACGAGGGGTCGTCGCCTCCGGGAGGAGGAGGGGCGGTGCATGCAGCGAGGCGCGAGAGGGGGGGACAGGACAGGCCAGGGAAAAGCCGTGTCTAGACGGCGGATCGGCACAACGTGAATTGAAAACAAAGGCCAGACAAGTGTTGAAAGCAATCACACAATGCGCGCGCGCTGGAACACAGCCACTGTACATGGACCAGTGCTGGGCTGCAGGGCAGATGTGACTACACTCGCACATCGCACAGCGAGCATGCAAGAGGACCAGATGAGATGGAGGGAAAGGGAGGAGGGGGAGGAAAGGATAAGGTGTGAGCACCTGCGGTTGGACACGAAACTTGCAAGATACGCTATAAGCTGGGATGCCAAGCCGTCTGAGTTGAAACGCAACGCTTGGGGACCACTGCAAAACTCAGCAGATCTGGAACGCAATGCTTGGGGACCGTTGCCAAATTCAGCAATTCGTCGTAACGCAGGCGTCTGCTATCCCACTTCATGGGATAAGTGAATCGCGAGAGTGAGGACCCATTGAAATTCCTAAAATCAGTCTTGCACGCTGATGCTGCCTACATCAATGCTGCCGCGTTGTGCTGTGACTTCAGAGGTCTTGTTGCTCAGGCTGCGTTGAGGTGGGACTTAATTCTTATCGCTCAGGCTGCCTACACTTATGCTGCTACGCTCTGTTGGGACTTGTGCGTGCCAATGAAAACAGTAGCAACCACAGCCAGGACACAATAGTCGTTAATCGCAGCCATTTCGCGAGTAGAGGAGGGCTTACAATAATACAGGACACCACCAGACAGACCTTGGCATTCTTTCACGCTTCCACGTGCACGGGACACGGTGGCGGAGTCAGCATCGGCGTTGGTATATCCGTGGTCGACAACCAGCCTACTCTGGCAGTGTCCCGCTAGATCAGCCATGATATTTTGCAATATTACCGCATCCTTGACAATAAAGCTATGAAGCATAGCATGTTCAACCCTGGGCCCAATCTGGCCTGATCCAGCTTGGTGGCCCACTCATCTGGCTCGGTAGCCCCTGGCCGTGCCTGCGAAGGCTCCCACGAGTGAGCCTCCCAACCTTGCGGCGGGTGCACGGCGCTCGGCTTCAGCCTGCCGCCGTCGCCTTGCACCTGTCGCTCGCGCCCGTCGTGGCCCACTTCGACGACGACGACCTCTACGCGCCGGAGTACCTGGCAAGGCAGCGCGCGCCCCTCGGTCGGCGACGCCCAAGAGTGGCCTCTCGCCGGAGTGACCTCTGGTGCGGGCGCGCAGGGGTCCCCAGATTCGAGGGCTCGCAGAGGGTGGGTTACCCCCGGGGGGGGGGGCGGTCAGGGAACGTTCCGCGCTGGATGCTCACTTCTCCGTTTTCGGAGTGCCGTTTCGAACGGATTTCCTCTAGGCCCACCTCTGCCGCTACCCCACCTTCACGCCTCCCCGATGGATGGCCGACATCGATGCGAAAGCAGCGTCTTGCCCCTACAGCCGCGCACCAAAAGGCCACCGTTGCCCAGGGCCACTCTGGCGTGCAGCCGACTCCGCCGCCGTCGGCCGCGGAGCCACAAGAGAGCCTCCAGTGCGGGGGGGGGGCTTTCGGCTCAAGGAGCAGATCCAGATCTCCGATGTTTTTTTTGTCCAACCATCCTGTGGTGTTGGGTCCTCGTTTTGAAGAGACAGCGCCCCGCGTCACTCACTCCTGCCTCCCTCCTCCTCCCTCGACCCCATTCTCCCTCTCTGCCTCCTCCTCCTCCCCCTCCTGCCTCTGCTCTCCGCATGCCAATTTCGGCACATCCCGCACACGCTTCGCGGCCCCATGGGGAGCTCCACAGAAGGACCCCGTGGCTGCGGTCGCATGCATCTCCGCCACCCCATTGGCAGCACACCCCTCGCACGTTTCGTGGCCCTAAGCGTTTAGTGTCCCCATAGGGCGCTCCACCAAAGGCCCCATTGGTTGCTTTCGCATTCTGTTCCACCTTCCATTTCGGCACACACCTCACTCGTTTCGTGGCCCCATAGGGAGCTCCACCCAAGGCCCCAGTGGCTGCGTTCACATGCGGTTCCGCCCCAATTTCGGCACATCCCTCACACGGTTCTTGGCCCCACAGGGAGCTCCACCGAGGGCCCCAGTGGTTGCGTTCACATGCACCTCTACCCTCCATTGGCGGCATACGCCTCCGACGTTTCGTGCCCCATAGAGGGCTTCACCCAATGCCCCAGTGGCTACGTTCGCATGAGGTTCGAATCCCCACTTCGCCCCCCCCTCACACGTTTCGTGGCCCCAACGGGAGCCCCATTGGCTGCGTTCGCATTCAGTTCCGCCCCCCATGTCTGCACACCCATCACATGCTTCGTGGCCCTATAGGGAGCTCCACAGACGGCCCCTGTGGCTGCGTTCGCATGGCGTTCCACCCTCCATTGGCGGCACACCCCTCACACGTTCCGTGGCCTTAAACGTGTCGTGGCCCCATATGGGGGCTCCACCGAAGGCCCCAGCGGCTGCGGTCGCATGCAATTCCGCCTTTCATTTCGGCACACACCTCACACTTTTCGTGGCCCCATAGGGCGCTCCACCCAAGGCCCCAGTGGCTGCGGTCGCATGCGCGTCCACCTCAGTTTCGGCACGCCCCTCACACGCTTCGTGGTCCCAAGGGAGCTCCACTCAAGGGCCCAGTGGCTGCGGTCGGATGTGGATTCACCCTCAAGTCTGGCGCATCCCTAACACGGTTCGTGGCCCCATGGGGAGCTCCACCCACCGCCCCAGTGGCTGCGTTCACACGCACCTCCACTCTCTATTGGCGGCACACGCCTCCGACGTGTTGTGCCTAATAGGGAGCTCCACCCACGGCCCCAGTGGCTGCGTTCGCATGCGTTTCAATTCTTCGACCCCCACTCACACGTTTCGTGGCCCCACAGGGCGCTCCACCAAAGGCCCCATTGGTTGCGTTCGTATTCAGTTCCACACCCCCATGTCGGCACACCCCTCACACGCTTCGTGACTTATAGGGAGGTTCACCGAATGTGCCCCAGTGGCTGCGGTCGCATGCGGTTCCACCTTCCATGCCAGCACACCCCGCACACGTTTCGTGGCCTCGTAGCCCCCCCCATAGGGAGCTCCACCCAGGGCCCCAATGGTTGCGTTCAAATTCAGCTCCGCTCCCCTCTCGGCATCTTGGGGGGGCTCCTCGGGGCCTCCTGGGCGCCTCGTGGGGCACTCCTGGGAGCCTCGAGGTCCATCGGCCATCTTGGAGGAGATCGATCAAAGGATGGGCCGTAGCAAATTGGGGGGGGCCCCCCCCCCCCCCCCCCCCGCAGGAGGCCAACCTGTAGCCACGACTTTACTACAATCTGATTTTGGCCTTCTCGCCGTGACCTCTTGGGGCGTCTTGGTTGCCTCTGGGTGACCTCTTGGGACATGTTTGGGGTCTCTTGGGAGCCACTTTTGGGCATCTTGGGGGCCTATCGGGGGCCCGTTGGGCCTCTTGGGGGTCTCTTGGGGCCATCTTGGGGCACTCTTTGGAACTTCGGATGTCATCTTGGGGCCATCTTGGAGGAGATTGATCAAATGAGGGGTGTCTCCGCAATCACTGCCCCCCCCCCCCGCATGAGGCCAAATTGTTGCAAAAACCTTGGTGCAATAAGTGGTTTTGGCCTTCTCGCCGAGGCCTCTTGGGGCGCCTTGGGTGCCTTTGGGCCGCCTCTTGGACCTCCTGGGGTCTATTGGGAGCTTCTTGGGGGCATCGTAGGGGCATCTTAGGGCCTCCTGGCCACCTCTTGGGGCCCTCTTGGGGCACCCTTGGGCGCCTCGGGGGCCATTGTGAGGCCATCTTGTAGGAGATCGATCAAATCAGGAGGCGTACTCAATTTGGGGTGCCCCCCCAGAAGGCCAACCTGTGGCCAACATCTTTTTTGCAACACCGATGACTATGGCTTCCCCACCGATGCCATTTTTGACGCTCCAGCCCCTCGCGAAGCCTCCCGCCCAGACCCAAGGGTGCGGCGGCATGGGGAGAGGGGCGATCCCCTCCTCGGAGG